GGGGGGTGCAAGGGGAGGGCAAACCCACCTCAAGCGCGTGGGAAGGCCAGAGTTTGAGGGAACAGAGACCCCTGCAAGGTGGCAGAGGGCAAAGGGAGGTGGTGGTGGTGGGGGGGGACCTCAGGGTTGGGGCGAACCTGGGACATTCCACGTTTGGATGGTCAACAAGACCAAAAAATTGGTCCCTGAAAACAGGGCCCTGGGCTATAAAACTTTGAGACAAAAAGTCCCTACTTCAGAAGCCAGCGGAGAGTAATCACCCACCCACCGTAAGCTAGCTGTGCCTGGTATGTCCCTAAGTCTGCAGGGGACACTGGATCCTGCCTTCGCTTGGCCAGTTTGTAGGTGGGCACATGCCCCAGGCAAAGCCAAAGCCGGGTCCCCTTTGAGCCCCCCAGGCCGCGTTTAGCCTGTGGGGCTTCCACTTGGGTTGGCTGCTTATTTAGGGCCATCTGTGGGGAGATACAGCAATATTTGTAGGAATTTATTCTGGGCCTTTCTTTATACTTTTGGATTTTCTTTTAAGGCTCACAAAACACCTCTTCATCCCCTTGGCTCTGTAATCCTGGCTTGCCATGTTGGGCTAACTGGATGCTGTCCAAAGGCGTGGGTTTTTTGGGAAGGAAGGAGGGGTAAGCACATCTGCAAACCCTGGGATCTCACCACTGGCCAGTATCGTTTGACAAGCGGCGCAAGATATCCCACCCCCCTTACCTGAGAGTCATCCCCCAAAATACCTTATTTTAAAAGGGAGATTTGGACCATTATCCGGAGAGATTCCTGTAAACACCAATATCAGGAGAAAGTCTGTTTCTCCAGATGAGGTGCCAGAAGGGGTGGTCCCAGAGGCCTCACTGCTCTCATGCTACAGCTAAGTCTACCAAGGCCATGCAGAACACCTAAGTGAAGAAGAAGGGTGGGATAGGGTCCTGGTGTGTAGACAGAAGCTTGAGGCCGTAGGATCCAGGCAGTTCCAATTCCATAGGAGGGTAAAAGGGGTGCTAGAGACACAGAGATGAAAGAGCTGAGCCAGGAATTTGCAAATCCAATCTGGGTTCACTGACTTGAAGGGAGGCCTAAGATTGGAAATACAGTAAAAACATGTAAAATCTCGGCCTCTCCCCAGAGAAGTCAGCTCGCTGGGGCCGAACAGACATCAGCATTGCATCTTCACGTGGCCTTGATGGGAAATTAAGATATGTAGTTTTGTCCTGAGTTTAAAGATACAGCTGCATCAAACACAGGGAATGGTCCACCTGAGATCTTTGTGTTTCATTGTGTGTAAAGATAAACTCAAAATTCCAAAACTAATCATAAACAATATTGAGTTCTATTTCCTGATGTGCTTGCTGAAGTGTTTAGGGGTAAGTGCACTGATGTCTGAAATTTACTTTGAAATGCGTCTAGGTCTATGGCCATAACACCCTGAACGGTGCCTGATCTCCTCTGAAATGCATTTAGAAAAAATAATCTGAATGGACCAGTCGAGGTGTAGATAGCTGAACAGATATGTGATATAACAAGTACAGCGAGACAATAGGATCTGGGCAATGGGTACGTGTGTGTTTTCTGTCTGTCCAACTTCAGCATGTCTGAAAGTTTTAATAATAAAATGTTGTTAAAACAGCAACCACCATGGCCCCTCCCTTCACCAAAATAAAATAAAACCTGCAACCAGTCAGGATCTCTTTCCCCCTATTTTTAAATAATTTCTGGACCTGTTTAGTTTTTAAGTCAGGCAAAGGGAAAAAAAATTTTTTGAAGATTCAAAGGGTAAAACTGGCAATAACACTTTAATATAGATTTGTGGAACTCTGGCCCTTCCAGCCAGAACACACATTTATAAGCCATAAATAAAACACGCAGAAACCATAAATTAATCAGACCCGAGACCTGGATTTCACCGTGTCAAGAATGGGAATGCATTTTTTTCTTGGTCATTTACAACAGACCCTTACATCATTTTTTTTTTCCTTTTTGAACAATAATACAACTTTGCTTCTCTGTTAAAACTACATGGTTTTACACTGAGTCACTCACAAAAGTTTGTGGGATTTTTTTTGTTTTTGTTTTTGTTTTTTTTTTTTTGTTTGTTTTTTAATCAAGTAAGACTTCCCTGCAACAGCAGCAATGGATGAATAAAGACAACAACAACAACAAAAAATCAGAACTTGCAAATGCTTAAAGAAGCAGGTGTCTACACAGTAGTGGAAACCGGAGGCTCTTTTCACTTTTCTTTCTCTTTTTTCCCCCTCTTTTTTGACTCTTTATCATTTTGCCTTCCCTTCTTATATAGAATAATAGGTATCAGTGTGGCCCATCTGTTTGGGAGGGAAGAGCTGTTTGGGAGGGAAGGTGAGGGGAGACTGCTGTCCTTGGGATGGGGAGTAATGGATTTCTTCTCCCTTGGCTCTCTCCAACACCCCTTCCTCAAATTCTCCCCACTTTCTCTCTCTCTTGTCCTTGTCCCCGGCTAGCCGGCTGCAGCCTTCTTCTTAAGAAGAGTTCATTATGGGCCTGGAGTACACCCCCTGGTAGTAGGAGGTATCTGCGGCCAGGGGCGAGGCATCCAGGCCCGCTTTGTTCGTGACCGGACCCATGGCCAGGCTACCCGGCATAGGGGAACCGTAGCCAGGGTAGTGCATCACCTGTTCGTAGGCTTTGAGGTCCATTTTGTGGGGCTGGTGGTGATGGTGGCTGTGGTGGTGCTGCTGCTCCGAGGACATGAGGTTGTTGATGGAGAAGGGGTGGTTGAAGGCGTAGTGGTGCTCCGGCTTTAGATGGGCTTCGGGCGGAAGGCCTGGGTGATGGGGAGGACCCAGCAGGTGGGCCGCCGCCTGCTGCTGCTGCCCGGGCGAGGGCGCCGGTTCCGGGGGGCTCAGGGCCGCAGCCGGCGTCCCCTTCAGCTCCCCCAAGGCCCCTCGCTTGTGCTCCTGGCACGGGGAGGCGCTCGAGTGGGGCGACTCGGTGCCCGCCGGAGTCTCGGAGGCCGGCCCGGCGGCCTCCCCGAGCTGACCCTGCGAGGTCTGGGCCCCGGAGGCCGCCTTCTTGCCGCCTCCTGTGGCGCCTGCGGCTTCCTTCAGGGCCAGCTGCTTCTCGCACTTGAAGCGCTTCTGGCGGCGCAGGTAGCAGCCGTTTTCGAACATGTTGCCCGAGTCAGGGTGGAGGGTCCAGAAGGAGCCCTTGCCGGGCTTGTCGGGCGAGCGGGGCACCTTGAGGAAGCAGTCGTTGAAGGACAGCGAGTGGCGGATAGAGTTCTGCCAGCGCTGCTGGTTCTGCCGGTAGAAGGGGAAAAGGTCCATGATCCACTGGTAGATCTCGCTCAGCGTCAGCATCTTGTTGGGGCTCTGCTGGATGGCCATGGTGATGAGCGAGATGTAGGAGTAGGGCGGCTTGGCGTGCGTGTAGCTGCGCCGGTACGTCTTGGGGTCGCGCGCGCGGCTCAGGCCCGCCTGCCCGTACATGGGGCTCATGGAGTTCATGTTGGCGTAAGGGGTCAGGCCGCCCATGGCTCCGGCCGCCTGCCCCCCGAGCGGGCTCAGACTGGGACTCAGGTGCGGCCCCATGCCCGCCACGCCGGCCGCCCCGGCCGAGCCGCCCATGCTAGCCATGGCGCCCGCCCCGGGGGACATACCGGCCAGGGACGGGCTCATGCCCGCGCCCACATACGACGACATGTTCATGGAGCCGGCACTCATGTTGCCCGAGCCGCTGCCCATGGCGGCCGCGGACATGCTCATGTACGTGTTCATGCCGTTCATCCCCAGGCCGGCGTTCATGTTGCTCACCGAGGAGTAGCCCTGCGGACACAGCCCGAGGAGGGAGGCGCACAGCGTTAGCACCGCGGCTTGAGCGTGCCCTGACCTCCCACCCACCGGGCCAGCCCAGGCCCCCGCCTCCGGGGAGGCCTCTGGGGAGTCCTTCCCTTGCCCGGTCCCGGCCCCAAACACCCAGTGCGTTTCACTCGGAGCGCGCCGGGATCGCCCTCGAGAAGGTGGCGGGCAGGCTGCTGCTGTTTGCGTGTGGCGGGATCCTAGCCCTTCTACGCCTTGCTCAGATTCTAAGACAAGGGTCCCCTGGAGCACCCCTAGCCCAGGCTCCCCAAATGCATCTCCTCTCCCCAACTCTCCAGCCAGCATACCGAACCGGCGCCGCGGTCTCGGACGCCACCTCCGACCCTAGCGAACAACCTGTGGGTCACAGCCTAGAACGCCCCAGCGGCCTCAAGCGGAGTTTGTCCCAGGGTTCATCCTTCCTCCCGGGATCCCATCCTTGGCCTCAGGGGAACCGAAACCCAGTGCCTGCGCAGAGTTTGGGGCCAGCTGGAGGCACTGAGTGGAGGGACAGGGAGGAGACCGAGAACTGAAGTACACGCGGCTAAGCTTTGCAGCCACAAACTTTCGTTCTCTTTGTCCCTAGTCTTTGAATCTGCCTCTACCTCAACCCCCAATTCCTGCCAACCTTCTCCTCTTCAGCTCCCCACCCCCTCGCCGGCCGACCTCCCACCCCTCCCCAGCCGCGCGCTGCCAAACATAACTCTGTTAGGATAGTGCGTGGCTCGGCCACGAAGAGGATTTGGAGGCGCCGCAAGTCAATATTTGATCACAAAGTTAATATTATCTCAAGGCTAACAGTGTGTCGTATAAAAAAGAGACCCATTTGAGTCGAAGGAGGGTGGAAAAGGCAGCTGCCCAGAGCGGCTGGGGGTGGGGGGCGGGTGCCGGCAAAGGAAGCTGTCCTGAGGTTGGTGAACTGAGCGAACTCCGCCACCCCACTTCCCCCTGGAAAAGGCGAGTGCCTACCTCGGGCTCGGCATAGTAGCTGCTCCAGTCAGACGGCTCGTGCCCTTCCATCTTCACCGCTCCCAGCATACTGGAAGCCGAGTGCATGGCAGTTTAAAATTTAACAGCCACAACAAACGATCAGCAATCACCCCCCACCCCCACCCTCTTTAAAAAAAAAAAAAAAAGCTAAGGCACCGTCCCTCCTCCCTCTTCCTGCTCCCTCTCTCCGGCTCCACTCCCTCTCTTTTCCTTGGCCGGCCGGAGGCGGTAGTTGGAATGGGCGGGAGGGGTAAGCCTCAGGAGGAGGGGGCCGAGGATGGGAGGAGGTCCGGATCGGAGCCCCGCTGCAGGGAGCGCCTGCCGCCACTCCTGCCTTTCGCGGGCTGCCGGGCGGAAAATGAGGCTGGTGCCGAGCTGCCCAGAGGCGGCGGGAAGCGCGAGGCGCGGGGGCGAGTGGGGGGGGGGTGGAGAGAGGGAGGAGGAGGAAGAGAGGAGGAGGAGGAGGAGGAGGAGGAGGAGGAGGAGGAGGAGGAGGAGGAGGAGGAGGAGGTGTGGACCGCGGAGCGGACAAGTGCCGCAGTGACGTGGGCGGCTGGTGATATAGCGCGGCGCGCCGGCGCGGGCCTCCAATCCCCAGACCCGGGGCAGCCCATTTGAATAATCAGCTCACACCTAGGTGAGAGGGAGACTCCGCCGGCGCCGGCACCTGCCCCTCGGCGCCCGGCGCCCGCCCCACTGCAGCCGCGCCCCGCACCGGTACAGGGCTAGGCGAGCGGGCGAGTGGGCGCACAGACTCTCTACTCCAGCCCCCTTTTCCCCCCGAGCCCTCGGGAAGTGCCCGTGGGAGGAGGGACCTGGGAGGAAGCCAACCCGGAGCGGCCCAGCGCTCTGACCCCCGCCGGGTCCCATAGAGCCCGGCTCCTGTTGCGCCTGTCGAAGGGCGCGCCGGGCTTCAGCGCCCCATTGCCCCTCTGCAGAGCCTTAGAATTGCCGCATTTACTCATCTCGGGTTTCTTCGCTCTCAGTGTTCCATTCCCTGTCAAAACGACAAGACGGTGACAGAGCCAATTTGCAAAGCGCTGTCGTATTTAGAAAAACTGTGTACACACCTTGAACTCGCCTGCCGCTGCTCCTGGGAGGCCCCTCCCTGTTACAGTTAAGACTTGGAGCGGCTCCGGAAGGCGCGCGGGGTGCGCCTGGTCCGGCCGCCTCGGCTTTTGCCTCTTCGGAGCCCAGCCTCCGGCGACAGACAGAGGGGCGGCTGGCGGACAAGAGCACTGTCGGATCGCCGAGCGCAGGGCGCACGCGGCCCCGCCAACTTCAGTCGACGGTTGGGTGACTGCTATTTGTCTCTGACATTCAGGACGCCGTGTTTCAAGGTTACTTTGCAGTCGCAACCGAGGTGCCCACAGCATTTCGTAACTAAAACAAACAGGGCAGGAGGTTGAGGTTGAGGCGGGAGGAGAGAGGGGAATAAAGGAATCAATAATGGGACACATGGAATTTACTTCAGGGAGGGTCTCTGTTTTCTCGAAGGGCTGTTTTATAAGAATTAGACGCCTCAAAACCATATACTTGCTTTTTATTTTTCCTCCAGCTTCTGGGTTCAGATTATCATCTGTCCAGGGCCAGCCACCAACACCCCAGTGAGCCCAGATTGCAGGGGTTGTTATTACAGGTGTTTGATGTGGACTTCTTTTCTTGGTTCTGAAAACAGGCTGGGCCATGAGGATCCAATCCTGTGCCCCCCACATTAAAGGTAAAGAACAAATAGGAAATAGTGGTTATCTGGCCTACCTGTCCAGAGTGATGGGTAATGGTGTCAGAAGACAGGGGCGAGGTGGCAGGCACAGAGCTGAGCACTGAAAATGGAAGGGCTGGGTGAGTGTCAGGCTAGAAGGCCAGCAAGGAAGGACAGTCTGTGTAGGGAAGCCACTCCTTCCCTCTACCCAGGTAATTTAGGCCTGCATAGCTTTGAACCAGATACAACTGAGGGCAGCACCTTTTGTGCTGAACTATGCAAATGGTTTTACCAATTTATAGTGAGAGGGTTAATGAACCCACTGAGCGACTGTAGGGGCTGGGGGACAGGCAGGATACCCCAAAGCCAAAGTCTGCATTGCTTTGAAAGCCCTGAGCAGCGCTAAGGGATACCGGGAGGGGCAGGCTGGCCCAGTGCATCAGGGAAGTGTGTCATGGGGTGTATGCACATTTAGTGTAGGTGTGCAGTGGGGAGCCAAAGGGACCAGATCCCCAGCATTTCTCACCGGGTCTCAGAGCATGAGGGAGCAATGTGACCGTTCTGCCCAAAGCTTGGGAAAGAGGGGTGCACACTGGCACTCAAAAGATAAGTTATTTGTTTTTTCAAAGCTTTCTGCATGGGCTCAGGGCAGAAATGCAGGCGCGCACACACACGCACACGCACGCACATGCACACACACACACATCCCAAAACACAGTCAACCCCACTCCCCACAGGGCGCTTCTCATGTCCAATAGAAAAGTGACGCCCAGACAAACCTGCGAAACGATGACAAACAGCTTTCTGGTGTGTATGGAAGTGAACATTCTAGCTAACCTAATCTGTGCGTGTATGTGTTCCACTTCCCTTTCTCTTTTTACTACGGATCGAAAATATGGTTGTAGAAATTATTCCACGAACAAAAGGAGCGAGTGGCACGGAGAGAGAAGGTCCTCTGGAGGAAAGGGAACTACCTTCCTAAAGAGCGAACCTTCCAAGTTCTTGCCACAGTTGGTGGGCGGGATCCCGGCTTACCCAGGAGCACACGCCACTGGCTTCCGCAGTGACAGGGCGCCCCCTATCCGCCGCGCGGTCCTCGGGCCCGGCCCGAACCCTCTTTACCCCCGAAGTCCTAACCTCGAAACCCGGGAACTCGAGTGCCCCGGCATCTTTCCCGGCCTCTCCGACATGGGGATGGCATTTCTTTGGAGTTCCCGAGGTTCTGCGCAAACCCAGACCGCCTCCTGCCGGTCGGGTCGGACCTGCGGGTCTGGCACCCTCCCTGAGCGCACCGCCGTTCCGAGGAAGGCGAGGGCGGGCTGCAGTGCCCTTAGGCAGCTTGGAGCCGGGCTCAGGCGGCTGCGAGGAAGCAGAAACGTTCACCAAGCTTGGGGTTCGCTTTGCGTCCCCGGCGCGGAGCTCTTTGGAGGCGCTACTTCCCCTGCACACTCATGCTCCTCCCCGGCAGCTTCGGTTTCTAAAGGTTTATTCAGAGCGTCTGGCACGAAAGCCTCAGGCTGGAATGCTGTAAATTGCTCCAGGAGCTTCTCTCCAGGAAAAAGTTCGCGGGTAACTCGGGTTGAAAACAGATGTTTTCCCTGATACCCCCTTAGTTTAAACCCCTAGGACTGAGATGGGCAAATTTTTCCTTTGCCCGTGTCCTCCCCGTTTCCCATTCTTTTCGTTCGGTGCTGCCCGGTTTCCTTATAAAACCGCCTGATAACAGACGACTGTGCTTGGGGTTAGCATGCTGTTTTTATTCTGGATGCTGCCCCAGCGGATTTGACTTGGGCTCAAATCTGGGCCTCCGCTGCTCCTACATTCCTCTAGCAAAACCCCTTTCACCAGGGATCTCTCTCTGGGATATGAAACTAGCCCTTGGGGGAAGGGGATATCAATAAACAGAGTTCAACTTCCCTAAGAAATAACCTGTAAAATAACAGGGGCGGGGTGGTGGTGGTGGTGGTGAAGGGTGGCATTCAGCTCATCCATACTCCAATTCCTGAAGTCCTGCACAGAATAAATGTCCAGGGCAGGCCTTACTTTAGGGCATTATCAGGCAGATCTGCAGGTGAGATTAAGACAGAGAAGATGGAAAGGTGACTTAGGGAAGTCTTGTGAAAATACACGTTTTAAAAGTAAACTTTTGGGTTGGCAGAAATCAGGTGCCCACACCTCTCTGAATAATATTCACAGAGTGGAACTTTCAGGGTCAGTTTCAGGTCTTCAAAAAGAAAAGGCATATAGTTGTGCCAAAGGTTATAATCATCATTTCACTTTCTGCAGGTGGGTTGTTTCTGAAATTTTATTAAAAAAAAAAAAAAAAAAAAAAGCCTGACCATCAAAATTAGTCTATTTGGTACTGAATACACCCTCAGATACTCTTACTGTTTTTCATAGTTCTTTGATGGCCCAAACACTAGTTGTTTACGAGAGAGGTCAACTGGAAAGATAATTAGCTCAGAATAAGTTATCTAGGGAGATTTATGTGAAAGATTGAAGAAAAGATTAAGCATGTCCCAGTCTTCGGAAAAAACACAGGAACGTGCTAATAAAAGTGGAAAGAAAGCATTATATAACAGTATAAGTTTAACACACAAGGCACCTGGATACAATGTAATCTTGCTCTCCTTGGCAAGATTTACAGGAAAAGATGGGAAATAAGTAATAATAAATGATGACAAAATAAAATGAGATAAATATGATGTGAATATGATGTCTCTGAGTGGTAGAATCTTACCTTCAATCTACATCTTTTCAGCACTACAGTTGTGCCATTTTATATCATTATTATATTATTATTAAATTACTTTTTATTATTTTATGGTGAAATATGTAATAAGAATATTAGATCTGATATCATGGAAACTTTAGCAAACTAACTTACACATATTTATTCAGTTCTCACACTTGAAAGGAGATGAGTGAAGCCATCATTAAAATGGACCAAGGGTTTGAGTTCCAAAAAGCAAACTAACATTATTTTTTCTCACCTGTGTCAGAAAATGAGCTGTGCTCTTCCCTGTATTGAGGAAGGGAGAGAAATAATATTCATGTCAGCCACAGATGGTGGCTTCCTAGCATGGAACAGGAGAAGGAGACAGTCCTTGGGGTACTACTAGAATGAATTTGGCACTCAGCTCTCTTTCTGTGCACATAGAATTTGATTGCTGTTTGGGAGGTTGGTGTAGTTATGGATTGTTCATCTTTTATGGTCTTTCTCAGTGATTGGCTTGTGTGCTTGTCAACTTCACTTGCATCTGTGTGGGTCTGAGGAGAAGGCCAGTGCTTTGCCTTTTGGGTCCAGGGTTCGACAAATATTTCTAGTATATACTTAGCATCCTGTCCACCATTCTTGAGTTTT